CACTGGGTCAGGCTCCCACCTTTCCTTAGGGCCCTGTGCTTCTGTTACTAGGCCTAACATGCAGAAACCAAGGTGGCCTTTTTTCCTCCACACCTAAACCCTGTGTCAGGTTTCACCTGCAAAACAGCTTTGCCTTAAGCCGTTGTTATACAAAAGCAGCTTTTAAACAAAAGAATGCAGAACACTGCAGATTATTTTGGTTTGCTCAACAAGCAAATTCGAGGCAATTGTGCAGACATGTCCACACACTCCTTCACTGCTGCCCTCACTATGATGTCCTTTGCTGTGTGTAGCAGACATACAAACATGGGAAATGCACTTAAAGATGGCTTCTCCTTGGTACTGGCTGGGGAAATTTCTTGAGGAGAAATTCTCTCACTACTAGCACTGCTTGCTGCCGCTGTTTTTTCTGTTGCTTCTCTCAGTGACTTAGTGATCATTACTAATGGCCATAATAAGACATTGATTCAATCCTGGGACTTGCAAAAGGCAGACCTGTTAGCTAATGCAGGGAACAGCATTGCCAGGAGAAGGGAAGGGAGGAGAGGGGATCAAAGATTCTTTGCTCTATGAAACTTTCCAGTTTTATGGGATGGTGCTTGGAAGACAATATCCTGAGGCAAACCCATCCGACCAAATTAACTTGCATTGCAGTCCTAGATTTGGTGGGTTCAGTACAGACTTTCAGGTATGGCTTACAGGACCAACGCCCAATCTTAAACTTGGCGGGACCTATTTTAAGACAAATATGTATAGACTTGCTGCCCAAATTACTTTAAAATGCAAATATGTAAAGGTCATGAACAGATGGGGGCAATATTAACATTCTAGCCCACTTTCAGGGAGACGGGGAGAGAGAAAAATAAGTCTGCCAACCCATTCAATAACTTTGGCTTGATTAATCATTTGCCTTTTGCCCAGTGGGTTGATTAATTAGAAGCTTATATTGAAATAAACTTGCAAATTACAAAGGCATTTATGAAGGTGCATTTCTGGTTATGGAAAATGCAAAAAAATTAATAGAGCAAAGGGGCTAATCATTGTTAGAAGAGTATAGTATCTGGATGTTTCAGAACTTCAGACTGCAATCAAATAGGAGCAACAGATATGGACTTAATTCAGAGCCTCCACTCATGGTGTGAAATGCAACCTTGCCAGTTAAAATGGTCTCTGTTAGGCTTCGCATGCAGAATGTCCCAGATGCCCTTGACATCAATCAGTTTAAGGATGGAAAAGCAGGTGATGGGACAGACCTTGCATGAGTTCCTGCTGAGCTGCTTTCAGTAGCCTCAGAGCGGGAAATTTTTTTATTTGCCAAGGGCCACATTCCCTAATGGGGCAAGCATGCCAGTGATGGATGGAAACAGATCCAGAAGCAGACAAGGGCCATTTGCCCGCTTCTGGATCAAAGCTCAGGGAACCAAGATTCAAAGTGGATGCCAGGAAGTACTTCCCGATGGGTAGGACCCCTAGGATATGGAATGGGCTTCCACAGAAGTAGCTGAAGCCCCTTTGGTGAGGGTGTTGAAGGATAGGCTGGACATGCTTATGGTTGGCATGTCATGAGTGGAGCTGGCTGGAGTCGTGGGTCAGACTAGATGTCCCAGGAGACCCCTTCTGACTTGCTCTGTTTCTATGTTTTTCTTTCTGACACTCTCCCCTTGCTTTCCCTCTTCTTCAACACCCTTCAGTAACTATTAGTGGGGAATCATTGAGATGGTGGCCAGTGACAAGCAGGGTCCCCCAGGATTCTGTCCTGGGGCCAATCCTGTTTAATCTTTTCATAAATGACACGGAAGAAGGGGTGAGCAGTCTGCTGATCAAATTCGCAGGTGACACTAAAACTGGAGCAGTGGCCACAACTGAGGAGCAGGTACTCCAGATCCAAACGGATCTGGACAGACTATGGAAGTGGGTAGGAGACAACAGGATGGCGTTCAATGTGGGTAAGTGCAAGGTCTTGCACTTGGGGCATAGGAATAGGTGTCATAAGTACAGGTTAGGTGACAAGTGGCTGGGGAGCAGCACTTGTGAAAGGGACCTCGGGGTACTGGTTGACTCCAGGCTAAACATGAGTCAGCAGTGTGATGCGGTGGTCAAGAGGGCGAACGCCACCCTTGGTTGCATAGCCAGAAGTGTGGCTTCTAGATCAAGAGAGGTATTACTACCACTCTACACGACTCTAGTGCACCCGCAACTGGAGTATTGTGTTCAGTTTTGGGCCCCTCATTACAGAAAGGATATAGCCAGGTTGGAGTCAGTGCAGCGCAAGGCCACAAGGTTGGTGGCTGGTTTGCAGGGGATGGGGTATGAGGTGAGACTGAGGGAACTGGGTCTCTTCAGCCTGGAGAAGAGGAGACTCAGAGGGGATATGTTGGCGACATACAGGTATGTGAGGGGATGTCACATGGAGATGGGTAGAGACCTGTTCTCCCCTGCAGAGGAAGGCAGGATGCGCTCCAACGGAGCAAAGCTCAGGGAGCCAAGGTTCCATTTGGATGCCAGGAAGCACTTCCTGACAGTCAGGACCCTGAGGGTGTGGAATGGGCTTCCACGAGAGGTCGTTGAGGCCCCATCAGTGCGGGTGTTCAAGGATAGGCTGGACGTGCACATGGTGGGCATGTTGTGAGCGGAGCCGGCTGGTGCCGGAGGTCAGACTAGATGGCCCAGGAGGCCCCTTCTGACTCCCTCTGTTTCTATGTTTCTCTGTTTCTCTGTTCCTGGAACAGGGCAGAGATGTGAACTAAGGGATTCCCTTCACTCTTTCTGTCTATTCCTTGCCTATTGGGTGGGGATCCTTCTGCATCAAAGAAATCTGAACTGATCTGTGGCAGATGGGCTTTCCTCCACAACTGTTCTGTCACCCTGACTGTTTTGTTCCTCCCTCCAGGCTTCCTTTTGCTGGTTGGGAATTCATAGGAGTTGCAGTCCAAACACATCCAGAAGGCACCAGGTTGGGGAATGTAGGGCTGATGAACGTTTTTCAGATTGAATACCATTCCAGTAAAAGTGATTAATTCATCAGTAAATCCCACTCAATTCAATGTGATTTATGCTCACTAAGTGTGCACCACACTGCTGCAGTCCTATGCGTATTTTTATGGGAGTAAGATCCATTGACCTGGCTGGGGCTTTCTTCCAAGGATCATGCTGTAAGCACAGCTTGCATTTATTTTATAAATACAGTTAAAAAGATATAAACAGTATGCACCTTGTTGTCAAAGGTCAGTAGAAGCCTTAAATCTTTCTGGGTTGCAGCCACCCATTCATGTCTGGATTTGAAACAGGGTGTATACACTGGAATGTGGGAGTGAATAGTCCAGAGAGACCCTGAGCATGTGCAGAAGGTATGACTTTTATAAACAGAAAGAAGCTTGAGCTTCTGCAGACCACTGACAAGGCAATGAGTTCAACAAATGGGGATCTTTGTGTAAATAGGCAACGCCTTGGTAAAGGTTCCAAGCAAGAGTAAACTCAGGAGCATCTTTTTCCCTCACGTTCCTGATAAAGCAAAAGCAATCGCATTGTTTTCAACGCTGTGTGTTGGGTAAAACCCAGAATTCCTCTCTGCCTCAGCTCAGCTGCAGTTAGACAGAGGGTTGGAATTTTAGCAATGCATTTGAAACGGCTGCTTTTGGGGTGGCTGCTTTGCATTCAAACGGTCAACATCTGCAGGGAAAATTATAAAATAATATGGGGGGGGGGCAGTTGGAGCTAAGGCGTGGTCGACTTATTCAAATAGGGAAAAGCCAGTTTGCAACAGTTCGCGCTTGGATATATTCGGGGACAAACTGCACGGCTGGGATTGTGAAAGGATCCCTGTGTGTTTAGGTCTCCCCGCCCCGCTCCGCGCCAACCTCCCGCCTTAATTTGGCATTCATAGATTTGATTCGCCCCCGCCCGGATTAGAGTTAGGACCGAAAATAAGAAGGCGAATCGCCTGATACTAATGCAAACTATCTTGCGCGAACAACAGCTGGATCCAAGGCGATTTATTCGAATGTAATTTTTACTGATTGCGATAGAACCTAGGAATTGCAGCCGAAACCTTACTCAAAGCCAGCACCACTGAATTCAGTTAAGACTCAATTCTAGTAAATCTACTGCGATCCAAATGCGGGTTCACTCCTAGTGGTCTCCATGGAATTAACGTCCGAGGAAAAACAGCTGCCATGCAATTCTATGCATGTTTAGGCAAAACAAGTTCTAGGAGTCGCGGCATTCACCAACCAGCACAGGATTGGTGCTGTGCGCGCCGGTACCCGGGGGATGCCTCCGATGCCATCCCGCGCCCACGCAACCCTTTCGCTCAGCTTTCCCACGCCCTACAACGTTACGAGGGTCTAGTGAATCCACCTGTTGAATTCCCAATCCGGATGCGCTAGATATTTTGCTGTGCAATCCTATCCATGTGTACTCAGAAGACCCGTTGAGTGTCACAGGGCTTAGTACCAAGCAAGTGCCTCAAACGGCAGTCTCTGTGATATATTTATCATATATTTAGCCGTTACGTCCAGTTGTTGCAAGGAGCGATGCGTGGGGACGGGGACGGGGGCGTCCGGCTGCGTGTGCTGCGTTGTTAGGACAGAAGCGGGTCGCTTGCAACGATGCAGCTGGGCGCACCGTGCGGGAGACGGGCAGTCAGCGCGGCGGCGCAGAGGCGCTTTGCGCGGCGTTCCTCGCTGCGCCACCTCCGCTCGCGTCTCCTGCAGCGCCCGCGCCCCTCCCCAGCCGCTGCACCCTCGCCGTAAGGGCAAGGCGCGTCCCCCGCGCTCCCCGACGCGGCGGCTCGGCGAAGAGCGCGGCGACGGCCTCTCCCCCGGGAGGCGCAGGCACCGCCCCTTCGGCGCGCTTTCCCCTCCCAGGAAGCCGCCGCGCTCGGCAGTTCGGCGTGGCTCTCGCCGCTCCGTCCCCGGGTGCAGGAGTTGAGCGGCGCCTCGCGAGGAGAGCGCAAGTGGGCGCCGCGGCCGTCGCCACCAGGCGGAGGAGGAGGAGGAGGAGAAGGCGCCGCCGCCGCCAGCAGCACCGGCATGCCCTGCTCCAGCGCGCTCGGTCGCCGGCAGGCTCGCCACCTTTAACCCTTCCGCCGCTGCCTCTGACACCTTCGCAGGCGCGCCGCCGCTGCCGGTCCAGAGGGAGCTGGACTCCCGCGCGCGGAGGACCCGCCGCGCATTGCTCGCGCCCCTCGGAGGGGGTGGTCACTGTCCTGGCCCCTCTTCCCTTTTCTGTGCCCGTTGCGTGGTGTCCTGCCGGCGAGGAGCCGCGAGCGTTGAAGGGAGGAGCAGAGGAGGAGGAGAAAGGGGCTTGCTCTCCCCTCCCTCGACACCAGCGCCTGAGCCGAGGAGTGCAACAGAGGCAAGGTGGAGGAGCGCTTTTCCTTCCCGCCCCAAGCGAAGGACGGACGGCTTCGTACGGTTGTGCAGCGGAGGCAGCCTTGTGCTTTTTAGCTCGGTCCGTCTCCATCGTCTGCTAAGCCCCCTTAAACATGGCGAGTGATTCTCCAGCACGGAGCCTGGACGAGATCGATCTATCAGCCTTGAGGGTAAGGAGGTGGGAATCGTTGGAGAGGAAAAGCCCACCCGATCAACCTTCTCTGCCTCCCTTTCGCTCCCCCCCCCGCCCCTCCTTTTATCGTACGAGCATCACGTAACTTTGCGAATGGGTAGCTGTTGGTAATAGCGGTAATCTGTGGACCGTGGCAATAAATGGGGTTATCGATAGTCATTTTCTTTTTCTTCCGGAACACGTACGGATGTAGCTGCTTCTCTGCTTGGTGAAGATGGGGGCTTTGGAGGAGGAGGCATCGGTCCTCCGTGAGAATAAAAACGGGAAGGGAGGGTACAAGAGGGATAAACTGCTGGGAAGAAGCATCAGTCTCTAGCTCGCCCCTTGTTATCTGTTTTAATGGTACATTTCCTCCTTCGATCCCGACGGCAGGACAGTGTGTGCATCATTCGGAAGGCTGACTTAAATCAAGGAGTTTGGGGAACGGCACCCTTTGCAAATGCTGAAGGCTGTTAATTTAACCCACGCAAAGCAAGTGTCTCTATCTTTTCTCCTTCCGCTTTAGAATCTACAGTTGCATGACTGTATTTGGGTAGGAACACATGCGAAGGTTTCCAGGGAGGGTTTTCCCTCTTTCCTGCTGGTCAGCTGTAAGATTCTCTGTGGAATTGCTTTGCTTTCCATCACCTTTGGCTACGCGCACAGCCCCACTTGCCTGACCCATATGTCTGAAGCTTTGATATTTCTAACAAAGCAAACAGCCCCCTTTCTAGGGAAAAAAAACTGTTATGGGGTGAAAAATGTGGGATTTTACATGTGGCTGTTAATGAATGTGATGGGGATTTTTCGCAGCTCCCTTGCATACCCGTATCAGTGCACTTGTAGTAGCAGCGTGTTCAGTTAGTAAAAGGGTTTGGCAGCAGCTCCTTTACTGTGGACATTTACTGTTATAGTGTCCATTTTGATGGAATGAAATGGAATTGCATGGATCTTTTAATGCTTCCTTCCTTTGAAGAGAGACGATGCACCTCTAGCCCTGTAACATACATTGCATTATAGGACAGGGAGGCTTGATTAAATCAGTGTTTTGACAGAGACCTTGGTTTACATAGATTCTTTGCATCTCTTTCTAATATTTACCCATGGGCAGAATCCTTCACCTGTTGGAGGGGGCTGCCAGCAGGAAGGGCTGGCTTCTTGGCGCCTCCTGCAAATGAAACAGTGCCATATTGCCCATCTTTGTCATGCTTGCACTAAATCTTGAATTTCACAGACGTTGAAACATCTTTCCTGCCTCTTCCCCCACAATCCTGCCAGCAGGTGAGACCAATCTTGTGTGGACTAGTCAAGAGTAGACTTGAGGATTTTGGGATCTGCTTCATTTTGTTGATTAGAATTGCAAGATCCACCAACTGGCAGTGGTGTGGTGGTAGATTTCAAGGCAAGGGTGTTCATCAGCACTGCAATCCATCATAGCCATGATCCAGCACGAGTCCTGATCAGCCTGCAAGATCAGTGCAGGCAGCTGCACTGATCCGTATCAACAAGCCAGTTCTAGTAATTTTCATCTGCTAGGAACAGATGAAGCAACACCAAGCCACCCCAAAATAGTTCACAGGGAAGACTCTGTGTTCCTGCTGGGAAATGTTCTCAGCTACTGTCTGGATTCAGGATGAACACGGATAGGCAGTTCTGAGTGGGGAACAGATAAAGTGCACATTCTGGCTAATAAAAAGTATTGGTGCGGCTTTCTTGCGTGTCTTGGCTCCATTGCACCAGTGCCAACTGGAGCCAGGCTCAGACGGCAAACAGTTGGCATGCAAAAATTCTTAGTCCAGAGCTGCTTTTGGGTACCACAGCTGAACAGAGCTCATAAAACTGCTCCTGGTTCCCAGGCTTTATGGTTGCATAATTTAGGATGGGGGTTTGTGGGGCTGGAATCACCTGGCTATTCTTATGGTTAAAGAATGAGCAGTCAATGATCCTTGCCCATCTACTGTGGACTGCCCAAAGAGCTACCTGTAGGTCCAGGTCTCCTATTTGCATGCTCCTGTTTTATTCCTGCTGACATTTCCTGAGAGAGAAGTCTTTCCCAGCCCTACTTGGAGATGGTAGGGATCGAACCTTGGACCTTCTCCATGCAAAACTTAGACATACTCTCTCTGAATAGATGTCTTGGTCATACTTCGCTTCCCTTTAAAAAAATACAAAGATCTGAACACTTAGTTTGCACAATCGTGTCTGTGTGATGGCAGAGGGTTTCCATTCTCTGGATTGCTGGCCTTTTTCTGATGAATGCCTTCCTTAAGTCCTTGAGTGTTTGCTTTCACTGGTGAGGTCCTGTGGAAGGTGGAGGGGCTTGCTGTAGTTTCAGTCTTGGAAATAGGGGTGACTTTTTCGTGTGTGGGAGGAGCGCCTTTCCTCATTCTCTCCACATCTGGGATTAGAGGGAGGGCTTATGGGTCAAAGTGTGCAATTGCCGGGAAGACTTGAGCTTCTGCAAATCTCTCTCTCTTCCTCTCTCTCTCTCTCATTAAGCAAATGTGCCAGGCTTTAAATCACTGTGACCTGACTTTGTGTATCTTTGTTTATGCTGTATGTGGTGCTTGCTGTTAGCCAAGTGCAGGATGTGGGAACCTGGGTACCCCCAAGATCATGTGGAACTACAAATCCCATCATCCCTGATACTGGCTGTGCTAGGTGGGCTGGTTAGGTGGTGGAGTTCAGCAACATCTGGGGGGGGGGCACTGTCTCCCTCCTTGTGAAATTTAGAATAGAAAGTGCTAGCAGGGTTGTTTCTGCAAGCTGGTGTCTGTTTTATTGCATCATGGGTGTTTATTTTTTATTGGCTGAAATTTTAGAGTAAAAATTGGTGTTGAGAGACTGAGAGGAGGAAGGGAAAAATGGATCTGTGTGAGTCACTTTCCTTTCTCCATGTTGGGCTTCTGGCTCAGGCATAGGATTAGAGTGGAATGCCCAAACTCTAAGAGATTTCTTGCCTCCCGAGCAGGTCTTGTATCACTCTTCATTTCAAGATACCAAAATGAAATAAATGAACAAAGTTTTTTGTGGCCTTCCACTTTTGGAAGGCTGTGAATAATTATCTGTTTGACACCTGTTTTGTTTCTTTTTTACTTAAAACAGCAACAATGAAATACCCTCTCTTTTACCATTTTAAAACAAACATCATTAAGCAGCAGAATCTTTGCTGGTATTCTTTTACCACCACCAAAGACATTTTTATTTATAACACTGCATTTTTAAAGTTCAGTCATTCCCTTTTCTTGGTGATACTCACAGCATCACCTGGAACACATCATTTAAACCCATTTTACAGATAGGAAGATGGAAAGCTGTCTTGTGCCAAGGCAGGCAGTATGTTACATGCATGCTGGAAGTGATAGGCCTTTTTCCTATCCAAACATGCATAGCCCAGTATTGCCTATTCTGAGTGACAGCAACTTTTCAGGGTCTCAAGAAGAGGTCTTAAGAATTCATGCATGCAATTCATGTGCTCTTCTCATGGGTTGTGAAGCCTTCCTAAGATGAAGGTTTGCAGATGATAAAGAAGCTTTTTCAAAGCCAGCCATCAATGTGCAGTAGAGCTAACATTTGAATTTAACTAATTCTCAATGGAAAAAAAATCAGGATCTCTTCTCAATCCTTAAATACTTTTAATTGGGAATGCTAAGGATTGAACCTGCAATTTTGTTTATTTGAAGCATTTCTAAGCAGACTCTTCCAATGCTTAACATTGTGTCCAACATAATTTAAAAACAGTTACCTAAGTAATGGTAAATAATTCCAAACTGTAACAAAATGGAACTGTGAACCACTGTAAACATACTCACCAATGAACTAGCCAGAATCTTAAGCATTGGTTAAGCATTCATTCCACCATTGAACCTGTTTCTTCTTCAGTGTGCAAGACTTGAGCCTGCGGACCCATTCTAAGTAAAAATGCTAAGCTGAACCCACAGAGCCATATTGACCTTGGAGGATGCCAGAGGTACCGGTTGATGGTGCTGTAAAAAAATTATTTTAACATTATTTACATATGGGCCTCTAATCTGTTAAGAGTGTATAGATCAGCTCAACTAAACTCAGTTAGCACTTAGAATAATTGTTGAAGGTGTTGTATGTGTATGGTGAGGCAATCCAATCATTTTGCAGAGACTTGCAATTAGAAATCAATACTGAATTTGCTGTCGGAGCAGAAAAGCATGCGGCCAGGAGGAATTGTGTAAGTCATACTGAGTTTTGGTTATTAGGAAATCAAAGCAGGTTCATATGGGTGTACATCAGGTGTAAGAAACAGCAAAGCAAAGCATGTCTTCAGACATATTTGGAGGAAAATGCAAATCTGATCCAAGTCCTGCAGAGAATATGGCTCTTGCTTAAAATCTGGACAGGAAATGCTGGAAGGAATTTCAGGGTAAGATGCTTCCATCAGGTTCGAGATCTTAAAGCTTGGTTGAACAATTCCTCAGTCATACAGGGGAAGCATGCAGTCTGAGTCTGTGCCTGCTTACTCAAAAGTAAGACAGATTCCTGAGTAAATGTGGGTAGGACTGCAGTCTTGAATTGGCTTGAAGGCATAGTGATGAGATCTATTAAGTAAAAAGTTTAACATTTATTATATTTGACTCAGGAGAAAGTACACTGAAATGGTAAAGTGTATGTGTGTGTGGAGAGAGAGGGAGAGAATGGACAAGTTCATAGGGAAAGAGATGCCCTGTAGTGAGTCAGACCATATAGCTCAGTTTTGCCTACACTGGCTGGCAGCAGTTCTCCAAGGTTTCAAACAGGATCCTTTCCAGCTCTGTTTGATCCTGTGTTCTATCCCTGGCATGGCATCTCTTTTTGTATAAATCCATGTGCTTTACCACTGCTTTGGTTTCAAATTCAGGCTGTTATGTCTTCAGTCCAAAGGTTCTCGAGACTGGGATGGACTTCTGCTAGCCAGAGCCAGTGACATGGCCCAGGAATTTTGCCTTCTCATAAATGAAATGACATGCCGTGTTCTGCCTGATCACT